TCTAATGTCACAGCAAATTTAATTCAATCACTTTACATTAAGAAATGCAAAAAACTGCCAGTGCTGAATAATATATATTTTGAGCATTAATGAACATAACATCAAACAAACATATGGTAAAAGGGAATGAAACGTTATTATAATGTAAACATATCAGTTATCGAAAATTATTAAAGTTGTAAGAGAAAAGTGTATTCTTCCGAACAGAATAAAAATTAAATACTAAAAATGGATGGAAAAATCGAAAAAGAATTGTGTACACTGAATTGTTGTGAACTTATTGAACCTGCAACTATTTATAATTAAAATTCATTGAAAGTAAGCAATAAAATTTCGCGAGCAAAATTCCCTTTATAATTTTTATGCATATTCAGATAAAGTATTAAAGAGAAAGATTATTATGTTAAAAATGAGTACGAAAGTTCTCAAATAAAACTTTTTCTTTTATGCATTTTGACCAAACTGAGTTCCAAAAATAAAATTTAGCAGAAAATATTAGTATTTTGTAGAGGAGGAAAATCAGATTTATTTCTTGGAAAGAGTCATAACTATTGTGATATCTGAAGAGAAAAGAAAGCTAGTTTTACAGGAAGTGGATATCAGTCGCGCGTTTTTTCTTCTTCCCCCCCCCCTCTTTTTCGTATTTGTGGGCAATATCGAAATGAAATTCGAGAATTTAAAGTTGTTATTTTTTCGAATGGTTGGACACTTCCAATTTAATGCATTCATCGTAAAGAATTTTTATCATTTAAATTGAATAAAAAATAATAAAAAATTTTAATTTGTAAATATTATCAATACACATATATGTATTATAATAACTAGAATACTTTTACATGAAACATGAGCTTGGTTGTGAAACTGGTGTGCTGAAGTTGATACACAGTACTAGATCTGTTTTCCAATGAAGAGCGTAGACTTATCTCTGAAATTCGCCTCTAAGTTAACGCGAAGGTATGTGAACCTGTTAAGTTAAATTTTAAAACGTAAAGACTACTTGATTTCAGATGAAAAAGAATTTTCTGCTTGAAAATTAGCAAATGAATATCAATTTTTTAATTTTTCTTACCATACAGTGTTATTATCGACTAATATCATCGGCTGGCTATTATAATGACGTTAGACTGCACGGGATGAGAAGAATTAACCACGTCTTAAAATATTATTATGATTTTCATAATATGTTTCCCTTGAGTAAAGGAAATATATCGAATTTTAGCTGAAGGCTGAAATAAAATAAAGCCTGATATACTATGAAAATAACAGCAACTTGAAAAGGGAGTTTTCAAATGAAAAATCAAGATTAAAGGGTCTGAAATTGAAATTAAAATTTTACCTTAAGTAATCTAATTAATTTTTACCTTGCTTAAATCGTACACAAGCTAATTAAAAATATATGGAAAAAGCCTAAAGGCACAGAGAAGAGACTGAAATAAGAAGATTTTGTAATGGAAAGTATGTGGAAAAATGGCGTGTTGAGGTGATACAGAGTGCTGTTGACCAGTAGGTAAAATAATTCTGTTGGCGTAAATCGTCATTCCCAGTGAGGATTTTATTTCGATTATATAAATTGGCTGATTTTTATACTATATATAGTTTGTTTTTGAAACTATATATATAGTATATTTTATACTATATGTAGTATAAAAATAGCTAATGACCAACTTCAAAACTCTTCTTTAACAGTCAAGTTTTTTTTCATATTTTAGTTATTTTTAGCTGCCTCTTAATTTGATATTTTGTCTGTCTTGTGGTTTAAATAGACGTTTCCTAATTCATATGTAAACTTTTCTTTGGTGATAAAGATGGGGCAAAAACTTTTCAAAATATCCACTTATCCTTTCCAGGCAAAATAAATTGTACGATTGTTGTAACCCCCTCCCTTACGCACGGAAGGAAAAGAGTCTTTATTTTTTGTCAAGTTTAATTTTGACATTTGTCGTCTAACTCCAAAATGTGTCAGGTCAAAAAGTGTCATGTGCATGCGTTCAATTCAATAAAGTTATTTGCATTCAGTCATTTCCCCCCACCATATTAATGTCAATGTGATGACTTCGGTTATCTAAATCATTTAAATTGATGCCAAAAGTTCTACAGTTATTCTCTCAATTAAGCTTAGTTTTTATTTATTATAAGTCAAAATAGTCTAAGAAATGGAGATGAAGTTTTAACTAATTAAATAATAAATCGAAAAATAATAGAGCCAAGCCCTACGTCTTAGAAGGTTGCAAATCTTGCTATAACGCTTCATGATCCGCTTTTATCTGATAAAAAATACGAGGAACATTATTTGTGTGGGCCTTAGAAAGAAAGTATTCTTAACATTTCAATGTTAATAAGGGCCTGATGAAAAATGATTAACATGTATTCTGAATGACATTAAGCAATGCCTAAAATATCTTATATCTTACCCTAACTCTAATTACAAACAGTAAGATGCACAAAGTACTTACAAAAAATTTCTTATATCCAACATTAATTGCGCCTAGAAGTCAATATAATATATACCCTACACTATTATGAATCCTAAAAGCTGGTCTTTGATGGAATGACTAAAGACTGCAAAACAACAGCAAACAGCACTTGCTTCAAACAAAGTTTTCCTGTTTTGGAAATGACAGAATATGCATGAATAAAAACGCAAGTGCAAATGGGGGAAGGGGTCAGTGGTTTGCATGGTCAAATATGATACATTTTTTTAACTCTGATTGGTTACCGTAAAGCTTTGAGCTCCATGTGCAAGTGATTTTTGAACAGATTAAACGAATTATTATATTTTACAAAGTTAGTTTGTTTAATTATTTAACATTAAGTACTTCGCCAAACTTTAAAGTACAATAACGACTCGAATCAGGACTCAGCTAGCGACAATTTTCTTTCCTCTTGTCCTTAACCTAAGAAAGAGATCTGAGACTTTCGAATGTGATCGACATTATTTTTCACAATGAAGCTTTTCTTTAGTCACAGGGTATTTAAAATTTGACTTATCTGTCAATTGAAAGGATAAAGAGGGAACATTCGTTTACAAGAAAATCCTAGAATGACAACTAGATATCCATTTCTCATTTATATCGTTTAAGGTGAATGCAAACATAATATAAAGCAAACAACTGTCGACCCTAGGTGGCCGGTTGGCAGTTGCTAATTTATACAAATTAGATTATTCTCCACCACTAGGATTTGGCGATTGGGTCATTTGAGATGTTATACATGCTTTTCTTCTTTCCGGTTGATTTATTTTTTAAAGTTTTTTCTCTAGATGTCACATCTTCTTGAAGAATTGGGAAGCGATAAGACAGAAGAGGCTCGCCTAAAAGAAAGAGCAGGAATTTCTAACAATCAAACTGATAGCATTAAAACAATATATACAAATATCTGTCGGATGGGATACATCAAGTGCACCCAAATGAACACCAAGAATACATGGTATATTTTGTGGGATTTGAGGAATGTTTAATGAGGATTGGCTGCCTTCACAATAAGATTGTGTGCCATTACTATAATAATGCACAGATATTAATGAAAATTTTGCATCTTGTCTTTGTTTAATTTCAGATTTTAATATTAATTCAATTGTAATGACATTAGGTTAGTTTCAAAAGGAGGAGAGATGAAAAATGAGCAATGCCCTCGCCGGGACTCGAACCACGGACCTCTCGATTACACACCGAGCGTGCTTACCATCACCCATCACCTTTAGTGCAGGTGCTACTGTAGAGACAGTTGGTTATTTCGAAGCAGGAGAGATGAAAAATGAGAAATGCCCTCACCGGGACTCGAACCACGGACCTCTCGAATACGCGCCGAGCGTGCTGACCGTTACACCTCGAAGGCATGCTAAGAAGGAGGAATAAATACCTTATAAATAACAACGAATATGATACGGTCATTTCAACAACAAATATGATACGGTCATTTCAGAATTTTGTTCTGTGGGCATAGCCAAGGTATACAGGGAGGTTCACTTTCACTTTTCTAAGCAAATGCACCCTCCCTTTTTTTTTTTTAAATTTTAACTAACCGAAGTTAGTGTAACGTGTGCTCTATTTCTTAGTATTCTTTGAGCTCTTTTATTCCCCTTCTTCCCCCCCCAGCTCCAAAGATTCTCGCACCCGGTCATACAAATTAGCAACTGCCGACCGGCCACCTAGGGTCGACAGTTGTTTGCTTTATATTATGTTTGCATTCACCTTAAACGATATAAATGAGAAATGGATATCTAGTTGTCATTCTAGGATTTTCTTGTAAACGAATGTTCCCTCTTTATCCTCTCAATTGACAGATAAGTCAAATTTTAAATACCCTGTGACTAGTCGCCCTTTGAAAGGAGGAGTATATAAGGTATTTCTCCCTCCTTCTTAGCATGCCATCATGGTGTAATGGTAAGCACGCTCGGTGTATAATCGAGAGGTCCGTGGTTCGAGTCCCGGCGAGGGAATTGCTCATTTTTCATCTCTCCTCCTTTTGAAAATAACCTAATGTCATTACAATTTAATTAATATTAAAATCTGAAATAAACAAAGACAAGATGCAAAATTTTCATGAATAACTGTGCATTATTATAGTAATGGCACACAATCTTATTGTGAAGGCAGCCAATCTTCATTAAACTTTCCTCAAATCTCACAAAATATACCATGTATTCTTGGTGTTCATTTGGGTGCACTTGATGTATCCCATCCGACAGATATTTGTATATATTGTTTTAATGCTATCAGTTTGATTGTTAAAAATTCCTGCTCTTTCTTTTAGGCGAGCCTCTCCTGTCTTATCGCTTCCCAATTCTTCAAGAAGATGTGACATCTAGAGAAAAAATTTTAAAAAATAAATCAACCGGAAAGAAGAAAAGCATGTATAACATCCCAAATGCATGAGGTGAGCAACCTCAACAAGAATCCACCTTGACCTTCAGGAGGTACCTTTGAGGTTCATCATCTTCTAGAAAAAAAAAAAAATAATAATAATAATAATGCAAGTTTTATGGGTAAGAAGGAGAGTTCAAGGTCTTTGCTCACAGAGTGGTTTCGTTGAGACTGAAAGTCATCTGATCCTCCTCCGAGAGGATTATTCTCTTGCCAGTGTTTCGAAACGTCAGAACTCGAAGAGCAAACCTCCTCCACTGACCACCTGGAGATCATCCCTCAGCTGGGTAGTGAGTATATTTTACTTCTCTTTCGCAATGAAGATTGAGGAAATATTGAAGATCTTTACTTTCGCAACTTCGTTTGCGGAAGTAAATCTTTTTATAAGTCTTTTTAATCTACTATTTAACTCTTTAAAATTCAGAGATAAAAATTAATTTTGAAATAATAATGATGCTGGGTGTAATTTGGTTAACTTTTAATATTATTTAAGACTGGAACGTAACTATTATTAAATGCGTTAATGAAGAAATTTAATTACATAAATGAAATTTAATAAAGAAAACTCTGCAACACTTATTGAAGATAATTAAATATTACTTTTAATTATTAGCCCAGAAGGGCTATTAGTCTCAAAATGGCCTTTTGCGTCCAATCACTGAAAGCGTTGAATCATTTTTCAAATTGTTGCAACCAAATATTGTCGAGCTGTGTTATATTTAAACATATTAAATAATGAAGAATCTGCATGACTGCATGTATGTTTCTCGCATTTTGAAGAAACAACGGTACCTAAAGCCATCAAATTTTGAATAGCGCAGTCCTCCACCCGAATATGGGCACTTGGTAGGCAGAATTTTTTTTATTATCTGCCCGAGACTGTCTGTCGGAAATTCTAAAGATATACTGTTTTAAGTATTTTTAGTCCAAAGAGCCGTAAGCCCAGATGCTGTCGCAACGTGTATGGGAATGTAAATTAAAAAAAAAAAAAAAAAAAACTCACCTCTGGACGTAATAAAAAATCTGAAATCTTTCAGATTTTCCTTTATTTTAGTCATAATAAAAATAAGTTTTTATTAAAAAAATCATTGTTAAGTTAAGATTAATAAATATTTTGATGGACAAATTTTACGCTTTAATAACTTAAATGAAATAACAAACAATGAAAGTAATTTTTCAGAAACATGAAACGTGCATAATTAATTTAGGTTAGCATTAATTCAGGTAGTAAACAAATTTTTTACTATCTTGATATATATCTCATTAACCATTATTATAACTTTTTTGTGCTTTAGAAAATTATTTATCGCTTTTTTTTATATACGATTGAAAGGAACGTAACAATTTAAAAAATTTGTAAAATCTATTTTATAAATACAAATCCAAATATATTGTCTTATAATACAGTTTTCTTTTTGTCTCTAATATGTCATAGGCATAGATACCAAAAGCTCAATGTGTGCAATGACAGTACTACCTTGTACTGACATAAGTAATAATTTAATTGTCTAAATGGTGGTAAGGTATGGTACAATAATTTTACGTATTCAGAATTGATATCATGAATATTCATAACTAAAATGGTGGGTTATCCAATTCTAAGATTTACTCAGAATTCGAGTCCGTGATTTAATAATCGTAGTTTTGTAAATCTTCTAGTATACTTAGTACTAATAGAGTTATTTCGTATAAAATCAGAATTTTTTTTTTTAATTCAAGCTGTAATTATTTAGCACATCGAAAAAAATCTATGAAGTGAAATTTGTTTCTACAGTTTAATAAATCACAGCATTTATGAGCTAATGAATAACAGTTATTACTTTAGCATATAAAAGTTTTTTTTTCAGTTATCAGATATTGAAAAAAGAATTCATAAAATTTAATTGAAAAAAAAAAATCTGAAAGTTTTTTGATTTTATACTGCACTCCAAACGGATGTTTTTTTTTTTTTTTTTTTTTTTTTTTCCACTTGCAGACACGTTTCGAGAACATTTGGGTTAACGTCTCTTTGGAATAAAAACATTGAAAAACAGCATATCTGTAGAATTTTCGATAGTCTCGCGAGTTGGAAATAAAAAGATTTTATTCCCTACAGTGTTGCAATTGCTCCCTTTGAATTATTCAGTTTTTTTTATTAAAAATTTGTTAAAGTGTTATAAAATATGAAACATACAATAAAACACATTCCAAATCCGAAATTCGGGCTTCCAGGTACCCATGTTCGGGTGGAGGACTATGTTATTCAAAATGTTATGACTTTAAGTACCGTTGTTTTTCCCAGTGCCAGAAACATACATACATTCATGCAGATTCTTCCTTGTTTAGTTTCGTTAAATATAATACAAGGCAATAATCTTTAGTGGCAACAATTTCTGATTCAACCGTTTGTAATGATTCAACGCAAAATGCCGTTTTGAGACTAATAGCCCTTCTAGGCTAACGTCCATTTGGGCTAATAATTAGCATAATAAATATTACTCAAAAAAAAAGAAAATAAATAACATTTTGTTTGTTTTACGAGAGATATTTATAACGTCATTGCCAAAAAAAAAAAAAAAATGAATTAACTCCCAATGAAATGTTTAAGTAGATTTAAGTTATTTTTTGGCGAAAGTTGAAGAATTAGTAGACATGATTTTATACAACAGATTTTTGTAGTGACTTGTGAATATGGCCTTATTTGGTTACTACAAATCCTGTGTAAAGAAAAAGACATTTCGTGAAGAAATTCTGAAGGTGTGGAGTTTTGTCGCAAGAAAACCCCATGCGCCCAGCAAGTTCAGCGTCGGAAACTAAAGCCAAAGGGAACTAGGGGTAATTGGTTTATATTCACAATACACTAGGGAAAACCTACAACTGAAGTATTTAAACATGATTCCAATAACTAAATACAATCAAACCGTATCTAAATTATTTTTAAACCATTAGAACAAAAAAAAAAAAAAAAAAAAGAACTAAAGAATACATATCAGAAAGATATCAGGTTCAATTAGTATCAATTTCTGTGCAGTACAAGTTTCTCAGATTCTCTTGCAATACTGAATAAATCTTCAGTTGCTTTAAATTAAATATGAAAATATGCGGTGGGTATCATAACACTGGTATGTTTATTCTTCAATGACGCTGTAGAGTAATTAGGTTTTTTTATGCCGGAGACGTGAAAAATGAACAATGCTTTCGACGGGACTGGAACCTGGACCTCTCGAATACGCGCCGAGTGTGCTACCGTTACACCACGAAGGCGTGCTGGAAGACGGGAGAAAATACCTTATAATGCTTCTAACTTTACCCTGAATTTTATACTAATAATAATTCAAGGCTAATCCTGAAAATGAATAGAAGAACTTTCTTGCATTATAAGAGTTTATTAAATAAGCAAAGTTTTTAAATATGTAATTACACGGTGGTAGTGCAACGAAATGTGGCGCAAGCAACGGAAATATAAGGTTATGGATGTTTCTTCGCGAAAAGTGACAAAAATTACTATTAAGCATAGAAAATCAGGCAACCTTTTTTGATTTGCTGCTCAAATTTAAGCGTTGAGCTGTTTCCCTACATTAAAAATCCATTATTTCAAGATATGGTCTCACCATAATCTCGTTGTCTTTTATTCCTTTTTTCTTAAAAGAAACAGAACATAAAAAGTTTATTGATCGAATTTTGAGAACACTGGCTTCCAAAAATAAAGCGCGTGACGGTAAAATCAATAAAAACTGAAAAGCAGAGCTTTGATTACTGCCAAACTGTACGAGAAGGTAGAACATCTGCTTATGCATGAATATTATTAGCATTATGCGCAAAGATGAAAACAATATTTAATTTTCATAAATTATGTGGTGACTTCACGTTTGGGTTATTCATAAATTTATATTTAAAGCTGGAAACAAGAGAACTTACATTAATAAGGTATGTAAATACCCCCGGGACTTCACACAAAGTTTACAGCAATTGTCCACGCTTTCAGTGAGGTGATTAACCATAGCAGATGATAGTAATAGCCATTCTTCCATTAGAGCAGTTTCCAAATGTCTGAAGCTTGCAGAGACAGTACGCCTGAAAGCATCGCAAAGATTTTTACTGGGATTATGGTCGAGAAAATTCGGGGTCACTTCACATAAAAAATACCCTCCATCTTTCTAGATACAAGTTAACTATGTTGGCTCGATGAGGACGGGCGTTATCATCCATAAAGATGAAATTAAGACCATATGCTGCAGCCTACAGTCTCACATTGTGTGTAGGACTTCATCTCGATACTGCGTAGCTTTCACAGAATAGTATTAAAAGATGTGCAGCTGGAGTGCAATATCCCATTGGAGTTTCAACTCAGTCATGTTCAATGAAGTTATGGGTCTGAGTCCGAGTGCCTAGTTCCCTTACACGCTTATTTGATTTTAGGGCAAATTTGAATTGAGCCAGTCTAATACAGGTCAGTTGAGATGGTCGCATCACTTTAATCTTGCTTCTCTGAACTAGGTGGTTAATGATGCACAAACACTTGGTACTCAAGGGTACAATCTCTTCACACACAGTCCTCAGCCTTCGGGGCACAGTACATGCAGATATTGTTTTATTAAGTGACGCTGCAATCATGAATGTAACAGTTGTGGAAGTTGCTCGTAGATTCCGTTTAACTATTATAACAAGATACAGTTATAATAGTTATAATCTTCAAAAGTGATGGTAACCTTCGGTCGACCAGGCACATTTCTTTGGTCAACTATTTGAATTATTTAGAGATGGCTTCACATTTGAGAAATTAACGAATGATCACCGTCAAAAAAAAAAAAAAAAAAAATATGTTTAACGTCTTTGATTCACTAACCTGCTTCAATGCGTCCAATAGCTCGTCAGGGCTCACTGTCTGTCATTCGTCTTCTTTCAATCATAGAAACATGTATATCATTAAAATGTATTCTATGAAAGTTGTAAACACTTAACATCAGAATTTAAACGAACCTTCTCAAACCGTTTAGAAAGCAGATGTTTTCAACGATTGTCTATTTAGCATAAATCCAGACACTCTATCATGATTAACTATAACCAATGATATTTGCATACTGTCATCTGTATCCGAAGCGATTTTCAGACACTCAAATTCAACTACGCTTTGGAAAACTGTTAATTTACTTTATGCGCTTAACTTTCGAAAGCCAGTGCATTACGAAACGATTTTATCGGCAAAAGTAAGTTTACTTATTAAGTTAAGCCGAAACGAATCATAAGTGAATTTAATTTCATCAACTGAGAACATGTTGTCATCGCTGCTTTTGCACATTCACTTTGACTCAACATTTAAATCAAACATTTTCGTAACAAACTTGCCAAATATAGTAAGTAAATTTATTTCAGATAGAATGATGTCCTGCAGTTTCAGCTGAAGGAAAAAAAAATTTATTTTCAAACCCCGTTTATTTCTACAACAGTTTATAACCTTGACAAAAGTTAGAGCTGTTTTTCTTAGAAGGACACACATACTACTTGAGTGCCTTGAATTTTAAAGCGCAAACATGGCAAAAGCGAAACTGTAACAAATCTTTGTTACATTTTAAAATTATTAACCTTTTAAAACTCTGCTTTTCGAAATAAGAACTCGAATTCCTTGAATATGCGTGAGGTAACGCTTAAATTACTTCATTTTCACATTCCTTCATGGCCAGTTCAAAAATTACAACATCTATTTTAACTGTAGAGAAATTTAAATTATCTGATATTTTCTTATTTCAAACACTTGCCAAAGAAATTTATTTCATCCACACACGACAAAATATTCAACTTTGTCTGTAAGAACTTAGAATAATAACAATAATAATTTAGCATTTCCAGCTCTTTAACATCTATTTCTTTCACAGGTAAGAACCCAACTTTAGATTCTTGGACAGCTCAAAGAAAGATATATGGACAAGATGTGGCTTAGATTCTTCTGTTTTTGCACTCTAATGATACTGACTTTCAGTGCAGAGCCAAGATTCAGCCGCCCGAATAGTAAGTAATACCAAACAATTAAAAAAATTAAAAAAGTGTTATCATTAAAGTAATATTCGTATTCGTAGAATGTTATCAGCTGTTTATTTAAATTCATTAAGAAATATACAATTTAATTATTCGTATTTTGCATTCGGGCAAATATTTTGTCGAAGTCTTTCTTCAGCTGCTCTTCAGTTACTGTCTAAACACTTTTTCGGAAAATTTATAAATTTGTCATAAACTACGGCATATACAGTAAACTATGCCTTTCCAAAGTGCACCAGTGGAGGGTGATATCGAAAGCATAATATTCAGTACATGTGCATCTGATTTTAAAAAGGTATTTTTTTCGAATTAAAGCATTTTTACCCAATTTTTCATATATTCCATTCAAATTCTAATATTCTACGAAAAATCATCTATAGCGTTTTTCATAGAGAAAGTGGAAAGACCTTTCTAAAGAATACTGAAGTTTTCTTCATGCTAATAAAGCAATGTAACGAACATAAAAATTATGCAAATAGGAAATCAGAAATGAACTTTTATCAAGATCAATAATTATTTTTACAGTATTTTTATATTCTATATGAAATTCAATTAAACTTCTTACAACGACCATCTGCTGAAGATGACCACCTCAGAGTGTAATTATTAATAATTAATAATTTAATTAGTAATTAGTAACTTGGGAACATACTGAATGCCGCCGAAGTCGTGTACGCTAAAATCATTACCTCTACAGAAGTCAAAACTGTCTAGCTTAAGAGATCATCCTAGGAAGATTTTTTCAGCACATATTATTAGTGACACATCTCGTGCTCCTCAGGGTTAGGTCTATACCATTTCTTCTCAATAAAGTATCTTGTGGAGGGGTTACGGCTACTACCTCTGCTTAAGTCCCAGAATTGGTTAAAACCGTGGATGTTTGTCTTAGGGAGGTTTTACTCTAAGAAATATGATGACTAATAGTTTTGCTTGATGAAGATCACCATTATTACCGTCATCCCCTTCACACCATCGAATACAGTAGGTTTCTGTTTACTAACGCTTATTCTGTGATGTCCTTATAATCCTGATATGCTATAAGGTTTGAGCATCATCATTTACATCTATTAAAAGTTATGACAATTAAGTTTTCTAATGAATAACATTTAGTTTTTCCTCAAGCAAACTTGGAAATCGAATTTACGTAGTTAAAACTAATATATTTCCCATGTCTACCTAACTAAACAGTTCATTTGACACCTGTTAGCAGATTACGCCGGTTGTTGCAATTATATGAAATACTCTTCAGTTTGTGCTGCAGTTCGTTTAATTTGTGTAGTACAAGTTGTGGTCAAATTAAAATTGTAGTTATTACCTATACAGTTGTTTTGAAAACTCTTTGTTCTCGCGCTGGTGATAAATCATCTTTATATTTACATCGCCTTAACTAGGTTCTTAAGTTCAGTTCAGTAGATAAAAAAAAATTTTAATTAAAAGTTACAATGTGAATCTGTTAAAGTCTTTTTAAGATTTTCTGAAAGCAAGTCCAGCCCACATCTCCTTTTCATATCTTACCAGTATTATAATAAACTGAGAACACTTTTAAAAAATGAAGAAGCAAAGAATCTTCTTTTTGGTGCTACTTTAAATATCTTTAGCTTATTGCGGTACCCTGAAATTCTTCCAGGTCAAGGAATATTATTCATGTTGTTTCAAGCAACAGTACTACAGTATGGTGTCATTGTATGCCATCATGATAAAACGTTCTTCGATTTTTTATAAATTTCTTTACATAAGAAATATTACTTCTTCATACAAGAAAAATTTCTTTTCTCAGAAACAAAAATCAAACTATCCCATTATAATAGAGAATTTATTTTGGTATTAGGATATATTAGCCTTCAACGCATTCAACGCACCATATTTAATAATCTTTTCAATGAACTTAATATATTTATTCAATTTCAGGTATTGCATTATACAATGCAGCAGCTCCCGGAGAGAGAGGAAAAGTAGTGTGCTACTACAGCGCATGGGCATACACTAGGCCGGAGCCTTGGAACTATGACATCGACGATATACCTGGAGATCTGTGCACGGACATCATCTATTCTTTCGTTGGTCTCAACAATCAAACCTGGGAGCTCTTCAGTATAGATCCTGAATATGATTTAGAGAAAGGTATGCTTTTACTTCAGACTAGCGCTTTTTACCCCAACCCCCACCCCACCTTTTTTTCTGTAAATGCCTATTTGTTGAACTATTTTATTTTTTGTTTAATTAATGTTATATGATTATATTTAACCATATAAAAATATTTTACTTAACATTTTTTATTTCTTTACAAAATTCAGGTATACAAGTAGCAAGTAATGTGAAATTTAATTTTTTTTAATAAAAATTACTCATACATGCAATCATACAGTACTAACAATGGCTATTAATGAAATGGAATACTAGTAGTAACAGGACGTTTGTTTTTTAACTAATACTACTCAGAGCCATCTGTAGCTTCGATCTGTCAGCTGGTATGCCAGTAAATTTGATAGGGGGGACTAATGCTGACTTGGGAAGAAAGATACGATGAAAGCAAATAGTTCAGAAAGTTATCGATAGTGGAAAATGTGGTGCTGTTCAAATCTACACAGCTGAGAACTATAGAAAGCAGCGACGAAAAAGAAATCACAGTTCAACACCGCCTTAATGCTGCAAAAGAACTGCACCAAAGAGTTACAGAGATGATATTTCAGTGCATACTAATACTTCATTCTATAAAAGCGCTTCCTCTGCGAGAGCGTTCACCTCTTACAATGACCACCTTCTCGTGGATGACACATTTCCATCCTGTAGAGAATATTCTCGATAGTCAAATGTAACATGTCGCCAGGAATGATGAGCACATCCCGTGATATGTTGTATTTTAAGGTCGTCAAGATTGAGACGGCTTCAAGATTGACCTTGGACGTGATGCTGTTGAGCATGTAGTATCTAGTATCTTCAAACTATAAAATGAATTATATCTAATCTTATTATAATATTATTGCCACTACTGCTAACGCTTTCAAGTTTAAAAGCTGTAGTTGCTTCATTGATGTACAATCAAAGTATGATTAAGACAGTCTAACTTCTTTCAAATGCCTTCAGTTTCCCTCTCTTTATTCTTAGTACGTTATTTCGTGGGTCTCCGATGCTTTATATTCTTTGTTGTTTAAGAGAAAAATAAAGTTATGAAGGATTATAAAATGATTTTGGGATCTTCGAAAACTTGAGAACCTGAAGTCAGGCTTTGTAAGCTTAGGCGGTAACTAAAAACGTTTTCTAATGCTTCTTAACGCAGATATCCTAAAATCTGCAGCATTGGCCACTTTTCCTCTCAACTCAACTTGCCAAAGAAGTAAGCAAATGTTTTTAATATGGACAGATAGAAGTGGGCGGGATACCAGAATTTCGCCATTGGTCATACAGACATGGATTCGCCGCATTAAACGGGCAACAAATATTTTTTCAAACACAAATATTTTTTATACCTAAATTTATCGTTCGTAGAGAACCTTAGGTTTCCGAGGATTTTTTTTTAAAAAGCCAAAAAAATTTAGTACTATCTTAAGAGTAGGTACCGAATACTCCGTACAACATTACAAAAAAGACTTGTGTTGTATAATTATACGTTACTAATACTAGATAGAATTTTAGCTTTAGAAATCTTTATCAGCTTTAGCCGCTGAAGAATCGAGTTTATGTGCAAATTTTCAAGTTCTTTCAGTGTTCAGGAAGTCTGTGAACGCGTAATAGAAAGATAACAATAAGCTTGGTTCCTCAGTTTCCACCCTTTGCTTTGAAGATAAATAAATCGTTAATTTCATTGTATCTGTAAACGCATTTGCTATCTGAGTGTGCTAACCGGTTACACATTTATATGATGCACGAGATATTTCGAAAAAATTCTGCATTCGTTTTCCCTTAGAAAGCAATTAGGAAGAAATGCGAATGGTTACGAGTAACCGTTCACCTTATAGTTCAAGCGCCATTGTATAAAATATTTTTTTGTTTCCCTTCCTTTTCTTTTTTAAGAAGGAAGCGAGCGCCTTAGCCGGGATTCAAGCCATGAATCTTCCACTTGCCAGCCAGATTTCTTAACAATTTATATTATAAGAACACACACAAGGAAATGCAGTAATTCCTTGTATACTTGCTTATGATGCCTTATAGCCAAATCTTGTCAACGTTTTCGGCTTCAAACAGTAGTTTAATGTACAAAGAGCACAATAATAATAATTGTTAAATAAAGAATAGCAATAAGCTTGCATGTAGAACACCGTCACGACTTGGGGATATTAGCATAACTTTCTATTAGGTATAAATGGCTACGGCCTTTTGTTCGGCTCGGCGTTTTTTTTTCACAATGTATGCAAGAAATGTATGAAAATTTAATATTTTTTTACATTCATAAATTTTCTTTTAAAAATAGCTGTTACAGAAAGTATAGATAGAGCTGTTTTGCAGTCTGGTTTATTTATTAACTTAAACTGAACACCATTTCATCTCAGTGGAATTTTAGAATCGAAATGGTATTCAGATTTTGCATTTTGGCATTTATACCAAAGAAAAGCTAACAATTCGCTAACGAACTTCTGGTAATATATTCAGAAGGGACTAAAATAGTACCTTTGATGCATCCTTAGAGAAATATCACAAAATATATAAAGACCTTGTAGGGTCTTCTAAGTGACAATTGTACGTGTAGTAACTGCACAGAAGAAGGGTTAAAAGTACCCGTTATTAAACTCTAAAATTTGCAATGCGTCAACTCCACGCTAATACACTACACCTTCTTGAGCGGTAACTGAAATCACAGAACTAAACTAAAACACAAGTAGTAGAAATTCACTACATGGCTCAGATAACCCCTGTTACATAGAACAGCGTCGAAACTAGTGGCAGAAAAGGAAATGTTATTATGCCACGTTTAAACCAGCAATAACTCCGGAAATACAAGATCACACAACAGAGGCGAAGGCAATAGCCTAACTTTCCTTCTGGAAAACTCGGTATTTAAACTTTTTCACCTTTAAGTAGAATTTGCATTCCTTCACGCGCGCTACCAAATTTAAATATTCTGGCATTGGCAATTAAGGGAATGAAGATTTATAGGAATGTTTGAAATTAAACTTTAACTTGTTAGTTAAAATAAATATAAATCCTTACAGCCTAAAAATTCAAAGGAAGAAATTGTGTCCAGTACATGACCTTCCGTTAAGGTTATTTGAATATGGCAAAGCCATTAGTTCCATCTGCCTAAGAGGGGAAGTGCTTTCGGGAAGGAATTTTTGAGGAAAACTGAACTCGTATTCTCGTTACACATTTTTTCTCGTTACACGAAAATCAACCATGCAGCCAGCCCGTTTGTATGGGATCGAATGCAAACCAGGTCAAATTATCATTCTTTAGCGATCTTAACTACTCGGCAATTGGCGCTATCACAAAATTGAAGATTGAGGCTAATATATTTAACTACTTCGTAACAAGAGCTCGTCTTCATAATTAGCTTATTCTCGTTGCATTTTGGGTAATTTCAAAAATTAATTTAATGCTTATGAATGTAACACGTTCGCAGTTATATACCTGTTTTAAATACCAAATTTGAGAAGTTTTGGATTTTATCCCATTTTTTAGGAAAGTCTGGTTAGAGCTTCAAATAAAATATCTCTCCATTTCTATCAATTTTAGCTAAAATCTAATATGTCCCTACCATTGATATAAAAATTTTAATATTAAAATTGAAGAGCTTTGTATTATATTTTAATAAATTTTTTTATTAAAAATTCTTATGGGCTTCAAGTAAAGTACCACTTTCGATTACTCATTAAATTCTGTCATGGGCTTCCTGTAAAGCACCATATCCGGTTTTGTTCGGATATATATGGAAGTCTGAAAGTTAGTTAAACGATATAAGTAAAGAGGAGAGATATCTGTATTATAAAAATTATTTCTGCCGATAGATTTTAAATAATAGATCTAGAATAAAGTATCTTCTAAAATGGTATTTCTTTCTTTTTTTCCCTAGGTGGGTACAAACGGTTCACAGCTCTCCGAGTCAAACATCCTCACCTGAAACTCCTTCTTGCCGTCGGAGGATGGGCCGAAGGAGGTCGAAAGTACTCAGATATGGTAGGAGAGAAATCCCGACGAGATATTTTTGTCAATAGCGCCGTAAAATGGGTCAGAGATTTTGGATTTGATGGCTTTGATCTCGACTGGGAGTATCCAGGTGCATCTGACAGAGGTGGTAAATATTCGGACAAAGAAAATTTCCTAAAACTAGTCGAGGTAAGGAAAACCAAGTGTTACTGACATTGTTATTAAACGAGTATTATGAAAGCAACATCCACAATCAGGTGAATATAAAAACGAAAATATGTTGTTTTACATACAACAAATATCAAAAATACTATGCAGGATTTCTTATGAAGTTTTCTTTGATTATGCCTATGCACACTATTTGTAAAAGAAGAAGCAGATCTTAGTTGCTAAGGAAATTTTTATTTCTTACATAACAGAAATGTTTCGCACATCAACGGAAAAAGGGGAAAAGAAAGTGCGCCAATATGTCAGATATTTTATGTGTGCATCTTGCGTAATTTGGTATCCAGGAAAGATATATTTAGTTACGTGCTATACACATTTCGTCTGCAAAACAGTTATATTGCAACAATTCTCTAACAAACTTCCGGTAATGTACTCGATAGGGATTTCTTTACACAGTACCTTTGACGAATTCTTACAGAAATATCGCTAGGGTATAAAGACCTAAAAATTGAAATGATAAAAATGTAATCAGTATATGACCTCCCTTCAAGTTTATTTGCATATGGCAAAGCCTCTGACTATTTATGTAAGAGGAGGGGTGCCTTTGTGGAAAAATTTCTTGAACTCTTATGCACATGAGTAAAAACAAGAAAATAAAGCCAACCCTTTTCCCTGGAACCAAATCCCAACCAGGTCGAACAACCAGTATTCAACCACTCAGCCATTGGTTGTGGCACAAAATACATTATTGGAGCTAATACATTTAATTCCTTCATACGAGCTCGTCTTGATAATGAGTTTATTCTCGTTGCATTTAGCATAATTTCAAAAATGCGTTTAATTCTTATAAATGTAATGTGCTGTTCTCAATTACATACCTATTTTAAATACCAAATTTTAGAAGTTTTGGATTTTCTCATAATATACCTTTTTAGCAAAGTCTGCTCAGAGTTTCAAATTAAATGTCACTACCCGTTTACCAAATTTAGCCAAAATCTTATATGTTATTAAGTCTTAAATATTAAAATTGAACAGTTTTGAATTATATTTTATTACAATTTTTAATTAAACACTGATATGAGCTTTCATTAAAGTAAAACTTCCTTTTGTTCAATTTCGCCTAATATCTAATCGAATCTTTATATGAATGTAGAAGGCTGAAATATAGAAAATGGAAATTTTCAATTATTGTGGACGAAAAATTCCTCTTACGCAAACAGAGATATTTAAAATTAGTAAAAAACTGTAAACAAGTAATTTTTGTAAAGTAATAAGTATAGCTTACACTTTGGAATGCAAACATTAATTAACTAATGCCGCCGAAAGTAAAATTAACACCTTTTTTAAAATGTTTATTTAATTGTAATTTTTAGTATTTGTTTTATTTACGTAATGGCATAGAATCAGCCGGAAAAAAGTTTTTCAGCGAAGATCGTTTCATAAAAAAATTACGCGTCTTTAATATACATAAGTGATTTTAATTTAGGATCCCCTTAAGATAAAACTGGATAAAATAATAACTTAGTAAAGAAGCTAAACTGCAGTAATCATTTAGTTTTCAACTCTTTCCTCTGTGCCCAAACAATGTATATAATACGTTACTGCAACGGCCCGAATATTAATCACATTGTCAGTAAATCGTAGTATTTACGACACTCAGGTCATAAAATCGAAAATACGCTTGCAAATACTTCCGTTTCGGTTTTTGCTAAACCATTTGGATAAATATCAGCATTTATCCACATCCGGTTGAATCCAGTTTGTTTGACTGTGATTATTACTTTTTATTATTATTCTTTAAGTTTGATATTATTATTCTATATGTGAGCTTAAAATATTCAATAGTCATTTTATGAAAAACAGTCATTTTATTTTAATAGTCATTTTATGTCATGATTTCATGAAATAAAATTTTATGATATATTTACTATATTAGGTCCATATTTCTAATTGCTACTATTCAATCAAAAACTGCTTATGACATAGAAAATGACTTTTACCTCTTACTATGAGAAAATGGCGACATTTACCAAAATGGTTCGGCCAAAACTCGAAATGGAAGAATTTTTTTAAAAGTATTTTTCGTATTTCTATCATTTCAGTATGGATGAATGCTAGAATTTTCTGGTAAAAACTTAAGTTTACCATTAGGAATTACCATTAATCGGAAAATTAACCAGTCTCAGCATTTTAATTAATCTATATGTAAAGATCTATGAGCTCGAAGACAAGCATTTGCATGCAGGTAGTATACAAGCAAATTTCAAAATTGTTTTCTTTATGTTGCACAAACTTTTTTTCTTTCTGCAATAAGTAGACTTGTATGGATCAAAGTATAATTTTATCCAATCTTATGTAGGGTATCTGTTTATGCAAATTTTTTAATTATGCCGATTACTTTATTTATATTTTGGCTTAAAATTCTCTTTAATAAAGAAATAAAATTTATTAATTCAGTCTTTTTCTATTCTAGGAACTAAAAGTAGCATTCGAGCCGCATAAACTTCTTTTGACGTGCGCAGTTCCGGTAGCAAAGTTCAGATTGCAAGAAGGTTATGAAGTTCCTAGACTAGCTCAGTAAGTACAAGCTCTTCCGCTTTTGAAAATTTCTGGTATTAATTGTTCGAAAATATTTCCGAACGCAACTTTTTGTAAACTTCCAATCCAATGACTCTTCCGGTCCAATGGCTCTTCCAATTCAATGGCTTCCAATCCAATGGCTCTTTCAATCCAATGGCAGATCGTTTTCACAGTTTTTCGGTTTATTATAGGAGAAAAAAAAATTTGATATTACAGAAATAATAGGAAGATTTAATTACAACTTATTTTTTATTCATCTATAATAAAGTATGTATCTATATTATCTAATTTGCGCATAAAGAAAATTTTACGAATTTCAGTCGAAAAACGTGGTACACGCATTATTAGTTCTGTTTACACATATTAGAATTAATTATTTAAGCATCTGTATTTTAAAGTATGTAAATTTATCCAAAATCATAACGAAACATGTATTAAACATATAATTCATAAATGAGAAATTTCAGATACAAGTCACTTAAATGAGAAATGAGAAATTTAAGATTTCACTTAAATGAGAAATGATAAATTTAAGATAAGAAATGAGAAAATGAGAAATTTAAGATTCCAGTCTTTTGAAACTTGTTTAATTAAATTAGGGGCATATAATATCGCGACAATGTAGCTTGGGCTGTTGTTTTTCTCTACCAGCATATTGGTCAACTTTTGAACACATAGTTAGTTAAACACAAAAAAATTCAGTCAGCTTTTGAAATTAGCTTTTATAAATTTCTTACATTTCAGACTGAAATAAAACTATTTTCCTGGTCATAACACTATTTGCTACACATGTAAGCGGAAGAAGATTTGAATTAAAAATATTTTCAGTTCTTTAAGACACAATTAAATAATATTTATAGATTAACTTATATTTGTTATTAGAATTCTATAAAATATGCATTCTAGAAAAGATAATATTACATTTCTGTTTATAAATAGATATACAGAAATTCTTTAATTAGTCGGAGAACGTTTTTACTCTGCCTCATATGTAAAATCGTAGCCATTTGCATAACTTTGAAACGAACTGGTATCCTTTTCGGTAGAAAATTGTCTCTTGTTGGTCTTAGGCCTAAATTGATAGAAAATTTGAGAAAATCAGATACCGACTTATAATAATAACGAATGATATAAGTCTGATGATTCCGAATAACGAATAATTGATGATTTTAAGGACAGAAAAGTTTCCTTTTCATGTTTCCCATTTAAGTTGGCAGAACCCCAAAATATACAAGAGTTCTGAAGGGTTTATACATACCTATTCAACTGCTATATATTTACTGCTTATAAATGATATGCAGATGTAACCTAAACTAAAACTGTATCAACAATATTCTTCAAGTCTCAGTTTCGTAACTAGTGAGTTTATAAAAATAAAATAAAGAATATATTGACTCAGTTATTTACACATTCATTATTTTAATTGATTTCTATTTTGCTTCAAATATAATTTTCAATAAGTAAAAATTTCATCTCATAAAAATTATAAAAATAATATTTTATTATTTAAAGCAAATGACACAAATTTAAACGATTAATTAATTAAATTTAGATCAGAAAATAACTATAATGGAAAACACACTCACATTATGCATTTTTAAATACTTTTCATGAATTCCGCCTACAATGTTATACGTCTCAGTACTGTTCTTAGTTTTAGCATATCATTATCACGACGGCATTGAGGATATTATCATGACATGTGAAACGAAAATATATATATATATATATATATTTTTTGCTTTGAAATAATTTTTTAGATTAATGCGTTAAATTTGGTAACTGTGTGTAACTCTTGTAATCCAAGATTACTTAACTGAAATATTAATATCATTTCGATATGGGCAAATAAACGCTTCATTACTAATATCCCTGTATAGCAAACATTCTAGCAACCATACGGCAATGCAAGGAAGTTTATATTCAGGTTTCGAAATTGTCTCATTCTAAAGCTACATCCGTTCTCTTATATTAAATGATTTTAAGCCACTCGGTTACACAAAAACGTTTTCTTTCTTCTCATCCTTTATCTTCATCTAAGGTATTTTCCATATCGCATGTTAATCAGGAATTCAATTACGCAAGAGCTTTTATTATTGAGATTTTTTTTTTCATTATTGAACTAGCTTTAAAACAATTTCATTCTTGGTATAACAAGCAGCATTCTGTCAATAAAACGCTAGCAAGAAATCGTTTTTCCTTCTTCTCTTAAGTTTATTACTAAATTGCACCATTTCTCTGTAAAAGCGTTCTCAAACATTTTAGCACTCCACCCAATGTGAATTTTCGCGATCATTGTTGGCAACTGCGAATTTTCGAGACAAACGTGCATACAATGTTTCGGAAAGAAAGATAAAAAAAAAAAATTCTAAAACAAAATAATATAATAAAGCAGTATACATAAATTAATTTATATAAATATTGATAACTAATTAAAAACTTATTTGTAATTACATGTAAATAATATAATTATACAATGATAAAAACATTTTTGACCCCCTAACCACACAAAAATTTTTTCCCGACTCAATAAGGTGTCGCGACCCAGACTTTGGGAACCATTGCTCTGTTGATTCAACATTCAGATTATTTTATCTGATTAATATAATTTTACGTAAATTCACGGACCCGACAGCACATCAGTATTTCTAGAGGTGTATGATATTATTTCGAAGGTATGTCTTATTTTTAAATGATCCATCTTTTCCAGAATTTTTAAAGATTATATTAAACATAAAAAAATTACTCTCGCCAACTAATAAAAAAAGAAAATAATAAATATTAATCATTTTAGTGTAATAATTATTTCCTATTTCTCACTATCTCCGCCATCTCAGTCCAGTCTTTTTCTCTAAAATAACCTTCTTTCAACGGTTAATATGTTTCAAGCGGTTTTTTAAAATGCAATGATTGATTCATAACGTAATTAACATAAAAATATTTAATTTTGCTATTTACAGTTTTTAATTGGCAGGCATTTCTAGTATCAATTGAACATAGCACTCTTACGTTATCGGAAGTAAAAATTATTTTCATGTAATAATTACTTTTTCTAAAACTACTAATCATAAAATCACCTAAAAATGACAATGCCTAATCTATTTGAAAGCTCTGAAGAAACTAGCAACTAACGAAACTAAGAATTTGGAGTTAAAATAATAAATTTATAAAACCAAAGACGCCGTTATTTGTTTCAGACATACGCAAGTTTTCACTTAAAAGAAAAGTCTGGATCATAAGAAACGTAAAAACATATTTGTGACAGGTTGGGACATGCTGTAGGGTTTCCCTTATTTTGCATAACAAATTATTTTAAGTTTTGCTACCATTTCTGAACCTCTCATTTTCCCCTCGCATTTCCTCGTCAGGATGCAAATTTAAAATTAAGTGAGGAGAGTATAAAAACAGACGAAATTTATTCAGAGAGTGATTTCGCTAGCCAGCGCACATTACGAGTTGTCCTTGTTGTTGCGCGGGGTTTCTGATGTGCCTTTTGGCCATTTAATGACCAAGTGTATGACCGAGTAGGTTGTTCAGTCAGCTCCGTTAGCTTTAAATTAAACTGTTAACCCAGTACTACTTTATATCTTTGAATTTATTGTGAACTATTCTTAAGATCCACCGCAAGTCGTCCTTGTTAGCACGAAGTGTATGTATTTTATGTTAAGAGTTTGACGGAATAGTAAAGGGTTATTTTATCCTTCTTCTGTGCTGGTATTCTTTTACGCTTGTGCAAGAAGTCGCCAGGTTATCTCGTAAGATCATTTTAACTTTATGTTAGCAAAAAAAATACGATCTTACAATGCGAAATCGTGAAATTCCTTAAGCATTAAGCTTTCATTTAGAAAACGGCTTTTCTTGCTATGGATGAAAGCCAATCGCAAAATGAAATGGGACGCCTCAAAACAACTCCCCGTCATAAAGGTTCTGACACCTTTATGCAAATCAACTAACCAAACGCCAAAACAGCAAATTTCATAAAAGTGCTTCGGTGTAAAAGTGCCCATATCATTATGAAGATCAGTTTCGAACCCGAAGAAAGAACTTTCATGAAGGTGCTGGCCAAACTAATCCGTATTTGTATTGTAGTATTCCGGTATTAAAAGGCTAGTAGTTGTATGAAAACTGCTTTCTTCAAGTTAAAAGATGATCTTCATAAGGATTCAAGCATTCTTTTGAAATATTTTTATCTCAATACATATTAACTAATTCTCATACATGCGCCAATATTTTCAGAATGATGCGCTGTTATGAAACAGTCCAGAGAAGATTTCCAGCACTTGTAATATTTATTGTGATGTTTAAAGTATCTTTAACAGTATCCACACTAGTTGCCTAAACATGAGATGCCATAGCATTTAATGATGGTAAAGAGTTAACCTAAAAAAGTCCATTTTTCTCTTTCTTCCGGTAGACTTTTCGACTGGATCAATGTAATGACTTATGATTTGAGAGGCAACTGGGCTGGCTTTGCTGATGTCCACAGTCCCCTTTACAGACGACCTTTTGACCAATGGGCTTACGAGAAACTAAATGTGGTAAGATATTCCATTTTAAATACTTATATATGTGTGTGTGTGTTAGATAAAAAATATGTAAATCAGCTTTATAATTTAATTTAGTAATATCATTCTAATTCCTTATTCCTTTAGCCTCTTAATTCATCATTCCTTTAGCCTCTTAATTCTTCAGCCTCTTAATTCTTTCTTACTTTTCATTAGTAATAAGCCTCTTAATTCTTCATTCTTCTCTAAGCTGATGACGCAGCTCATTCGGAACTTGAACTCAAAATTTTTTAGAACAGAAATCTTTCTAACCCTAACCAAAACCTTCCTTTTCGCGAGCTTCCATATTAGTTGATTGAGCACTTTAGCTTCTGTCTATCTTTCTGTAATGACGTTATTTCGCTGTATTCTCTTCCTATCGCAACAGTATCGAAAATGTAAATGTTCTTGAACAGGCACGATTAGAGGTATTAACATTTGTGGCCGAATAAATTGTAGCCATAATTGTCAATTGAAATAAAAACTGAGTGTTTAATCTTACTCGACTGCAATGTTTTCTAATCATTACGGATTCAACATTTTAGCGATTTTCCTCTTCAATATGGATCTAAGTTCTAACCTATTTATGTGCTATGCCATCAACATTGCTAAGCTTTTTTCTCTTTTTCATCATACATATATTTTTATACATATATACACTAATTAAAGAGAGAAATTTAAATATTAACCCTAAAAAGGATGTGTATTTATTTGGGTCATAGATAAGTCTCTCCGTTAATCATCAGTAAGGGGAGTATTATTAAGCTGAATAATGAAATATTCTAAATAATGAAAATTCTAAAATATTTATTATAATTAAAAGGGCTGTTTTCTAGTGATTATTATAAACAGTTTTATATGACTTTCTGCTAAAATTGTATCTAAATATAAATAAAAATTGTCAGACAAATAAAAAGGGTTACTATTTTATTACGTAATATTAAACTAAATTCTCTAAGATCACTTTTCTAAGCTTTACTAACCATAAACCCCTTCCAGTCATTCTTGCATTTTTACATTAAAAGATTATTAACTATGCAAAAGTATGCACAGGACAAATATTTAATAAATAATTAAGCATATTGGCCCTTTCATTGCTTGCTTGATATCTTTAATGTAAAAGATATAATTATCTGTAAAGCACATATTATTTCATTTTTGTATTACTCTGTTTAATGCACCAACCGTAAAGGACGTGGCTTGAACACGGCTTGAACGCTTACAAGAGTCACAGAGCAGTAAACTTCAGTCTAAACCCAGTATTTTGTTCCTTGATCAACTTTACACGAATACTATAGTATAGCGTCTTAGACAGGGTATCTTCAATGCTTTGCATTGAAAGGCAAACTGTATATAAAATTTCCTCCGCCACAGCAATTAAATGCATAAATATGGAACGAATATTCAGCTATTTATATCATTGTATAGTGGTTCTTCTGTAATCATGTAACATGTTCTTCTGTAATCATGATTCCTCATGGCAATAAATACAATATGATTTTTTTTCCAGCATGATGGTTTGCAGTTATGGGTAGATATGGGTGCCCCGAAGCACAAACTAGTCGTAGGAGTTCCTTTCTATGGCAGAACATATACACTGGGAAGTAAAGAAAACACAGGCCTCAGAGCAGGAATAAAGAAATGGGTTGGAGGAGGTAATCCTGGACCTTACACAAATGCTAGCGGATTCCTCGCCTATTATGAGGTAAACTTAATTTACATGCGAAAATATATATGCGCTAATGATCCATTTAAAGGAAATTTAAATATTTTTCTTGTAATTGCAGATTTGTCCCCATGTGAACAGTGGTGAATGGACCAAGAAGTACGATGACATTGGAAAATGTCCTTATGCTTATTATGACGATCAATGGATTGGATACGAAGATGAAGATAGCATTGGAATAAAAGTAAGATCTTCAGTTTATAACAATTACTTACACCAATAATATGCACAGAATGATACAGAAACTGAATAAAGTTTGCGGTAATATTATAGATGAACAAGAGATAAAACGACGAATACTAAAAAGAAAAACAATAAAGGTCAGGTTCATTAGTTTTGCATTTCACCACTTCATAATTTACCCTATCATAAAAAAGAAACAAAAGCAGTTAAGCACAGCAAAGATAAATAATTTAATTATATAAATACAAGATGTCTTAGAAAAAATTGCCAAACATCAAGAGTATATCCTAACCGCAAAGGTAAGCAAAAAAATGTGTCAAAATTAGAAATAAAAGAAAGAGATACTAAATACCTTGGCAACTTCTTGTGATTGAATTTTCTGTGACAAACTTTAGAATCTCTTAAGCATCCAGATCCGTTTTTCTTTTTCGAAGAACACCGGCAATATATTGAGGACGTTGTCTAACGAATCTGTCATACTCCATGAAGGCTGTAATATCCATAGAAGATCTCTGCTTAAAAACACATTAAATGCAATAATAATAATGGAACACAATAATAATTTTCACCAACTTAGAAGATGCAGCAGCTTTTCTGCGAATTCTGTTTACATAGTTAAGTTATCATCTCATAACTTTACTCAGATGTGAAGTAGAAATCCGGTAATGCTGGCACTAACGAAGACGAAATCGGTCTTCTTCTGATACTCTGATGCAAAATGCGAGATGCCTAGACCATATAGTGGTTAGCGATGCTGACTTCTATGCAGATGGGTACTGTACAGTTACTGACTGCTTACGGGGGAGCTGTATAGATGAGCCTGGGTTGGAATCCCAGGATATCGATGTTTGTAAGCTGGTATCAAGTAGCAGACCCCTTCGTAATGCACCCTGGATAACGCTAAATCTGTTACAACGATTGCCGCTCTCCTCTTCCACCTAATGACCAGAGGGTCAATGTTGGAATGGTGGTCAATGGTGATTTGCTTGTTTTTACCCCTTGATGCGAAATGTGACATTTCGAGGCAACATCTTAGATCTACAAATTAATATTGTGCATGGGACTATGTTTTTCATAATTTTACTACCAAAGCCCATTTCTATTAAACGGTTGCATGAAATTCCCAAGAATTGTTGCTGAATATGATAGTTTTTTCATATGTTAGAGTAAACGCGTTCTTTTCTAAAACACTCGGCAAACACAAAACAAAGCAATGACCTCAAACTCAACTACACTACAACTGCTTAATATATTCTGGTTTCAGAATTCATTAAACATAAAACTAATGACGTCAGCTCAGCTATATGCCACGATCATAAAGGGGTTAGTTTAATTTTAGAAATTCGAGATTCTGTTTCCAGCAAACCTTTGAAATCTTCGAAAAACACACAATTTATTGGTATTTCATAAAGTTGCTAAATGTAATTTCTCAGATGATACTACTGCTTTATGTATTATAATTAAGAATTATGAGAAATTATCTTTGATAAAGCAATAAATTAATCATATATTCAAATAATTATGCATATATATTATTTTCCTAATCAGTAATATCATGTAGGTCCTCCCCTAAGTTCCTTAGAATAATTGGTAACATCTCCTGAATTTAATAACAGGCAAATAGTAAATACAACACGTCTAACATAATAAATGGCGTAGTTTCTTTGCGACAGATTTTTTTTAATGCCAAATATGTTTCATGTGCGGACTTTCGATAAATGTTTTAGAGTCTTTCTCTTACGTCAACTTAACTTTTTGGGCTTGAGTTTTTATTATATTGTCATGACATTCATAAACTGTCTTAATTCATTAATTTAAGACACGAACATGATGTTTAATTATGTTACCGCTTGAATATATTTTCTTTATTAATATTTATGATGTTTGAATACTCTAGTGAATTATCAGCACAAGTTGGCATGGTCGACTAAATTGAAGTTAACACTAGAATATTTAAATTTACTTATCCCATATATGAACACTGCACCTTCCTTGACTAATACCTCCTACTTACAGATGGATTATATCAGAGAACAAGGTTACGGAGGAGCAATGATTTGGGCAATCGACATGGATGACTATAATGGCGTCTGCGGTCGTAAAAATGCCCTTCTTGAAGTCATGAACGAAAAACTGAGAGGTTACGTTCCACCTACACCAGATCCTAGTCAGACAACGGAGGGTTCTACAATTTCAACAAGCAAATGGTGGCCCCCTAGGTAAGTAGTAATTGGCACAAAATATTGATTCTTTCACAGTTCTCATAACATACTATTTAAATAAGAGATTAGTTTGAATAGCTATGAAATTGCTATTTTGCTAATGTTGTGCGCAAAATAAACCTGTACTTGAGTCCAACAAGTTATTAGCGCATACGTACTATTATGATTTACGAATTCGTCTGTGCATTTATCTTATGTTATAAAAGAATTAAAGGACCTGTGCATTTATCTCATATTATACGACAGAAAGCATCCAAGCAACGCTCTGTATAAACCTCCAGAAAGTGTGTGTCTCTGATTGTAGTGTCAAGTGACATTACGAGAAAAAACTGCTGCTAGTAGTACAAGTGATACACTGAGACAGAGAATAAGTAAGTTGGTAAAGCTGACTAATTTTTTTATTTCATTAGGATTTCATCATTGCAAGAAATCGATTTGCAAAATATCGGTATGGCTACAAATGCTTGAATTTCCGTAAGTGATGTCATTAAAAAGTGTAAATGACTAAAATGTGAAACGGCAGGAGTATGATATGGCAGGCTGCATGATACGGTAGGCTGTTGGCCGCTGTTGCTTCTGACTTCCTCTGACGCAGCCCATACGAAGACCATAGGGCGACGTCAAAGAGGGTCAGGCTGTATCCCCCACATCGCATCACGGTAGATCGCATAAACTCAATGATCACACATACATAGCAATAACCTACACACTCAATTACTCAATTAATCACACAGCAGTCAAACCCTAAAAAAGAGATGAAGGAAAACTGCATTGTAACCGATAGTAACGATTACTTGTAAATTTCAAACTGCGCTTGGCGTCGTCTCTAGCAGTACTGAAGACCTTTCATTAGGAGTTAAAAACATAGATTTCTACAGTTGCATAGCCGTTCACAAACTCAATATGAACACGGTCAATGCCAAGCATCGGTGGCAATGATTCAGAGTTCAGTCCCTTTGGCTTACGGCCCAGGGAAAAAACAAACTGTTTAGAATGGTGAATGTCATTATACAATGTGTCAGTTCGAGGGTTTAGCAGAAGAATATTTCATATCCGAAAGTATTTTGTACACTTAAAGTTTGGTGGTGCAGGCAATTTATCTGGTTTCTTTAAATCCTGTGGTCTGAAGGAACACTGTAGTATCTTGATATTCTTGACAACTCTCCACTTCCAGCTCACTAGAAATAGTTCGAAAAGGAATCTTTTCTGTAGAAGAAAAATAACTGTTCTAGCCGACCAACGAATGTGATGCTTGCGATATTTGAAGAGATGGATGTTGAAAGAATAGACTAAACTTCATAGTCTCGATCTCAACTCCACGTAATGGGTCCCCTGTGGATAGAAACAGAAAGCAGATTACGTAGCCTGCCAAATCTTCGTTAGCCTGACTCAACGCAGCTTATATGGATCGTATGGAAAGCAGTTCCAACGTTTATGACATTAAGAACCTGTCAGTGCTTAAATTGCGCCGGAGCCCAACGGAGCCCGGCTCCGGTGCTTCTCAATTTTTAAGATAAATTACAATTTTAGCCGGAGCGCACCGGAGCCCTAAATAAGATGGCTATCCGGTACTTCTTTTTATAAAACTGAACTACAATTCAAAGGGAAAAAGATTTAGAATTCCTAACGTTTAACAATAAGCAGACCTTGCAAAACTCTATTTCTTAGAAATACGAACTCATGAGAACATGAGACGTTCAAGCGAAGTTCCCTCACTCACATGCGGAAACCTTTCCCTTTAAGAAAAGCAATAAATTTGGGGGAGTTTATTTAGGAACGGCTAAATTTCTCACCATGCCATTGTATCTAGTTATCGATGCTTGTTATCGATGTTTGCTTGTTATCGATCTTGTTATCGATGCTTACAGTTAGTTATCCTTGAAATTTTCATCAGCTATACTTTAAGTATATTTAATTTTTGCGATGATAAAAGAACTCCCCCCTCCTACGATCAGAACTTAAATTGGGCCGGAACCCACCGGATCTCGGCTCCAGTGCTTCTTAGTTTTTGTAATAAATCATAATTCTAGCCGGAACGCACCGGAACCCTGAATAAGAAGGCTGCGGCACTTCTTTTATGTAATCGAATAACAATTTTAGTAGAAATTTTATCTCGAAAATTTTATTTTAACACTAAAATTATATTAAAAATCGCGTATTAAATTTCAATTTATCTTTTTACATTTTATTTAATTTTAATTAGTTAATTACTTCAATCTTTTAATATTTTAATTAATTATCTAATAATTATAAATTAAATTATAATTAATTAATTATCTAATAATTATTAATTAAATAACAATTTATAAACGTTAATTAAATATATATTAATTAATTGATAATAATTAACTATTTAATTTTAAAATGATTAATGTGTTTTAATAGTCATTTTATTTATTTATTTACTCTTGTTCCTCTCTGCTGACAGTCTTCCATAGGGCTCTGGCACTTTTAATCTTAGAAATTAAGCCCTGGAACCTGTTAGATATTGTCTGATAATTATAGATTAATAGACCAATACATACTATCTGATAGTAGCTCAGAAGCAGTATGTGCTACCTAAATGGTATTCTAAAATATAATAGAATGCAAACCAATTACACACTAATATTACACACTAAACTGTATGCTTCCGATTAAAATTTTTGCATTCTAAATAAATTACAGCAATATAATTAGGATTACTTAGATAACGGCAAAGTATTCATCTTACTTGTTGAAAAATCGATACTTCTCTGATAAATCCAGTGAAGCACTATGTATATGTGTGTTTGTGTCTTTCGAATAAATCATTTCCTAATTACAAAAAGAACCTTTATTAAATATATAAGAAACTTTCTCCTTCCTTACCGAGTGCCTTCATGAAGTAATTGGAAGCATGTCTGGGTGGAAATCAGGAAGGTCGGAGTACGAATCCTGTAGAGCAGGGGTTCTCAACCGGTGGTAGTACACAAGAGAAAAATAGATGGTATGTAAAAGAAGCAAAGTATTTTTAACTATTAAATTCAAAAATTAAAACCCCAACATTCTGACTGAGTTTTTTTCAAACACTCGTAAATTTATGCGATCTGAGCTTTGTTCAAGAATGGTGGTAGTAGTATATTGTAGTGGTGGTACTAAAGGTTTTAAATATTTGTTTAGATGATACGCGTTAGTCAAAAGGTAGAAATAGCTGATTTTTTTTTTTTTTTTTTTTTTCCCTCCTTTTGAAAAGCCAAACAGACTTAATAACTTTACAAATATTCCAAAAAACTTAAAATGACCTTTAATTTTTAAAATAATACATTTTGTATATTTTAATAAATTTAAAAGTTTTTTTAAACTGGTCAGAGTGTTAGATAGAATCTACTAGCGACTGCAAAATATAATAAATGCAATTTGTGTTTCTCCCTCATGGGCATAGAGGGTATAGTGGTAAGCGGAGAATACCCGGGACACTATACCGTAGCCCAGTATGCTTTGTGGTGCACCATACGTAACTTTGTGATGAGACAGCTGAAAGACGGATGAGTTCGGCTATTCCTAACGAAATATTTTCAAACAATTGTCTAGCCAATAGGACAGCTTAAATAGCGCCTGACTTTGGTACATCTCAGTTTTCGAGATAAACCGTAATTCTAGACGTAGCTCACAGGAGCCCTAAGACCCACCAGCGGCCGAGTGGTTAAGTTGCTGAACACTGGTAGTTCGGTCCGAGGTTCGAATCCCGCGAACGGGCTGGCTGCATGGGTGTTTTCGTGGTTTTCCCCATGTGTAACGTGTATACGAGCCAGTTTCCCTTAGAAAGTCTTCCACAAAGGCATCCCCTTCCCTTAGCCAGATAGCCGTTGAGATAGCCGTAATTAAATAACCTAATCAAACAGGAGCTAAAAATAAGACGGCTCTAAATAAATTAAATGAAAGATATGCTGGAAAAAGAACGCTCTTTGTTTCTAGCCCTCCCTTAAAGTAGTACTTTATACTGATATTCAGGGCATAAATTCAGTCAGTGTCAGTCTGAGCTAGTTCTTATCTTTTGAGTGAAATGACATAATCACACTGCCATTAAATTATTTTTCAAACTTTTGCCATCTAGATGTACTGAATTAAAGTATAAGCACTCATTTCTGATACCCAAGTACTTAATTGGTACATATGATCTAAGTTTAACAAACTGTATGCTTTATAATTCTACGCCTACAATAAACAGGTATTAAAACGCATATAAAAACTTTAAAAAAATTGTTTCAATAGTAATACTGAAATCAATTATTCTTTAGATCGACCGAAGCCACTACTCAGAGGACTTGGTGGCCTCCTGCTTCAACTTCATCCAGTACTGTCTGGTGGTCACCCAGCAGTTCAACAACTCCACGACCACACCAAGGAGGTGCATCACCTGGTGCATCATCTATCTCTGGATCTTCAGAAAAAGGATTCGTTTCACCCTATGATCAACCTGGAGCGCCTAACTGTAAAAGTGCATCAGAAACCATACCTCATGAGGACAGTCAATATTATTATTGGTGCATAGATGGAAGGCCAGTTTTGATGCAATGCGAAGCTGGATCCCAGTACGATCCAGCAGTAGGCAAATGTGCATGGGTTAAAATTTATACAAATTATGTCATGCGTCACCAATTTCGAAATTATCTCGGTAAATAGGACCTCTTCACTGCGCAGAATACAGGATTTTAATCTTGGTAGATAAATTTCGGATTCTTGCACTAATATTCGGAGTAGCTTGCAAATAGCATGGGATCTTTTTACGCCATAAAAATGCTATTCCGAGTAAGCAAATACCAAAATGCATTCGCAGGATTTGGGGCCTTTAAGGATACACGCGTTCCCTATCTAAAAACCCTTGCTAGTAACCAATTCTTCATAAGCGATTTAATTCAATTTTGCCAGCGAATGTGTGCAATACTAATAACTATCCCTGTTTAAGGAGTGATTCTTAGCACTGATATACGGTTAAGGGTGGTAAAATGCATAGCGGCTAACTTTTTTTTTTTTGACTGAATGCCTTAAATACTAAAAATCGAGATTTCAATAAGTTTAAACATATCGTGAAGCGGTAGACGAAAAAGTCAATTTACTTTTAAATGATGCATTCATTTTTTGTCAACTCGTTATGTAATAAATATTAATTACATTTTGGTGAGCAGGTGATATATATCAAAAGTCTATCCCTCAAATCATTTATATGACAAAAAAAAATCTGGTATTCTGTAAATATAAAATCATAAGCTGGATGATATTGTTAAACGTTTCCGTGAATTGAATAAAATGTTTTTCATATACTGAACTGTATTCTTGCATTCTCACGATACATATCATGAGACAAACAGCCCATTCGTCAAACCATCCTTTAATGCAATGCCTTCCATTCATGGATTGGAGTTTTTACATAAGCACGAATATTTTTCTTTTAACTGAAAGTCAGCGAATCCCGATTTGACAGCTTCCGCAATTATGACCGTAAAATGAAAAAAAAAAAAAAAGAGGTCAGAACAGTAGTACTTGATTTATTGTGTTGAAAACATATGCTTTGGTAAGTAATATTATTAAGACTTGGTAAGTAAATCTATAAATGTAGCTACCTCGGTATAAGTCTCCTCTGAAATACGTCCAACTTTTATTTACGTTCTTTTTGGACACGAATTCCACGAGTTGCGAGTGCGAGCTCTACCTTTATTTACCTCTTTCGAGACAAATGTACGACTGCCCGTACTCCTGTTGCTACTATTCAGTATGTAATTACTTTCTAGGCAATGTTACCACTGCCCATGAGCGTCAAAACGAGTGCTACTATGATTCAGTGAACAAGCCGCGCTAAAACTCACATGAATTTTTCACACGATTTTGTGTTTCACGCCTATATTTCATATACATTAGCAACGAGTTTTAAAACGTTAGAAGGGTCAAGCAGCGAAGAAATTGGTTAAGATCATTATGGAGGTGAAAAACAGAATTGTTGAAAAGTATGCGAATGACATGCGTATCTCGCACTTGACTATTACATGTTTATATGCTCAGTATTACAGTATCTACAGTTGTGAAAATGAAACACGTTATTAAATTGGCCAACGTAGCGAAACTATTGAAATCGATAACCAAGTAAAGATCACAGCATGTTGAGAAATTACTTCAGATCACAAAAAACACACATAAATAACACAAGAATATTTGTATACAATATCATGCACTGTGTTTCATTTATGTATAGTACAGGGTGTTTGTTTTTAAACTGAGACTACTCACAGCCATCTGTAGCTCCATCTATCCGCTGGAACACCATCAAATTTGGTAAGAGGGCTAATGATAGCATGGGGAAAAGATTCCGTTGAAACAAAAATTCCGAAAGTTTCCAATAGGGCAAAATGTGGCACTGTTCTACTCTACACAACTGGAAATTTGCATGAAATATAATTAAAAGTTTAAAAGGTAAATAATGCTCGATCACAGAAATGATAGCTGCATCAATAATTATTGAATTATAATTGAATCCATAAAAATAAAAGAAATTCCGAATGTTTTTTTTTTTTTTTAGCTGAGTTCAACATGCGTATACTCTTACCTCGCCTGGTGCTACTTCGTCAAATTGTTTTATCATCACCGATCAAACGCAGCCGCCACTTTTTCGTGAGATTAGAAGTTATTAACAACTGCGTAAAGGCTCTCTATCAATTAATGCACTAAAAGGCATGATTCAAAATTTAAACAAACAGGATGCTTAGCAGTTCGGTCTGGTAGAGGACGAAAACCGGGCCAGAGCAGACATTTACTGATGTCGTGATTGCAATCGCTAACGGCAGCCATGGGCCATGGACCGTATCTGGTACTCTTGTTCCCCCCGAAAATAAGACCCGGTTTTATATTAATTTTTTGCTGCAAGAAACACGCTAGAGCTTATTTTCGGGGGATGTCTTATTTTTCATGCACAATAATTACGATTTGTTCACGTTCAAGAAATACATTTTTTCAGGTTCAAGAAACATTTAGAAATGAACATAATCATTTATTCTAGTACAGCCATGCCGTCTTCTGGAATATCGTCATAAGGTTCCAAATCACAAATTCCGGCCTGAACGTTTTGCGACTTCATTTCCTCTAAGACCACTGGCCTTAGCCTCTCATGTTCAGTAGTACAGCTCTCCTCAAATAAGTTTTTCTCGTCCATGTCGAACACTGTCGATACAGCTGTTTGTTATTTTAACACATGCATTTTTCACCTAAGTAACAACTATCTGCAACTTAGGCTTCACAAAGTTTCATCGTTGATTTATCTCCATTCTATTATCATTGTTGCCATTGATTTCCATACGTAAATGATTTGTTTATTGCAATATCAAGATTTTGAAGATATGGTATCATTCCTATAGGAACCATTATTTGATGAATTATCCTTTATGCAAGAAAGTGCTTCATGGTTTTAATGCAGTGTGTGCTTGCTTGTGTTCATCAAGCTTTCTCAAACTCAAGAACATAAATACCTGACACATGTTCGATTTCCTCTTTCTTGATCTTAGACATGATTAGAGGTGGGGTTTTTTCATCGAGACGAATTGCTGAAATACATGAAATTCGTGCACTTTTATAACCAGTGGACGGAATGTATATCTCAGAAGCACCCCTCTGATATTTCACAGTAGTTTGACACCTTTGACCAATAAACACTGCAGTTTCATTCATAGCACAATCATACTTCAGAGCTGGTACTTACAGAAACCGATGCAACCAACAGAACACTTGAATGCATATGGACTTCTAATCACTTGAGTATCTTCCCATTTGAATAGTGCTGTCGATCCTCTTACAGACATTAATATCGCTGAATAAAGCTATCTAACTATTGTTGTGATACTTTGAATTCGTCTGGCGATATGTCTAGCTATGGTGCCATAGAAAGGCAAATGCTTGAATATCAGCCCTGCGAACAGCCAAATACTTTTCTCCTCTGTCCGGAAACCATTCACAGATGTGTTCCAATTCAGAAAATAATGGTTGCTGACCTGATCCACACTTATGACTCTTGGCATTTCCATCGTCGACCTGCTGACTGATGTTATTGTATTCTGATCACCATTTTCGGACCACTCGTAGATTCAACTTCTCTTTACAGGAAGTTGTTAAATTTTTTATTCCTAGAGTCTTCCACAGCTCCTATCTTTAGTCGACGGAAAAGCTCTCTTTTCGCACTCATTTTATCTGAACATTAAAATTTATTATCCTTTAAATTTATTATTAAATCAAATGGTATATGTCCAATTCTAACGCCATATATTGAATACTGAAGCTTCTAATTTGTCGCAACAACGTCTGTTTGTTTCAAATGTGGATGTGTGTTATGTCTGCACTTGGTTATTTGGCAATAACGCGTCTGTTTGACTGATCATCTTAACTACGGCTTTTATTACGAGTGCCTTGAAAATTCATGTTGGGGCTTATTTTTTTATTAGGTCTTATTTTCGGAGAAACACGGTAGTAGCAATGGGAAAGTTGTAGAGTGATAATTGGATTTTATTTTTTTTATAACATGAAAATATTGCGGAACGTTCTCCGTTTCTTTCCATACGAGATAAGCAATGTGCAGGAATTAAAACACAATGATATGATAAGGGTGACATTTTCTCCGACATTTCTATTCAAGATGGAAATCAACCACGCTTTACCGCGGAGAATGAGTATGAATTTTTTGTATGAAGATGAGGCCCATTTTCATCTCAATGGGAGTGTTAACACTCATAATTTCCGAATATTTCCGAATATCTGAACAACTCCATGCAATTCAGGGAACCTATATACCATTTTAAAGAACATTAACAGGACTACAGACATGTACCGTTACTATGCAAAGGCATCATGCTATGCTGAGTAGGTTTGTCATTCCACTGCTTCAGCACAAGGAGCCGCTGTATCAGGTAACCCTTCTGTAACAAAAGCACCACTTCAAATTAGCCCATCGGTGCAGCGGCCTGTTGCACTTTGTTCTGCGTCATCAATTCGCAAAACAAAGTGTCATGAAATAGCTTTTTCTCACCTGCCACTTCGCTTCTCGGGTCTAACTCCATGCGACTTTTCTCTGGAGGGGTTATTTGAAGTTCAAGGTCTATCTTGGTGGGGCTTGGACTTTGGCGACTTTAATGGACAACGGAACTGTGCTCAGCATTCCTGGTTACATGTTACTTCCGGCCATCAAAAATGTTCTGTACCTGATGCAATGTCCGCAAGAAGGGTGGTTACATTGAAAGAGATCTATGCCCTCGCCGAGAAAATGCTTTCACCGAATAAAATGATATGTGCACTGAAATATCATCTCTGTAACCCTTTTGGGGCAGTTTATTTACTGCATTAAAATTGTGTTGCACTGAAATTTCTTCTTTATTGCACTGAAATTTCTTCATTAAAATTGTGTTGCACTGAAATTTCTTCGTTTGTCAAATTCTCAACTGTGTAGAATACAATACCACATTTACCCCAATCGGAGATTTTTAGAACTTTTTTTTTTTTTTTTTTTAAGAAATTGTTTTCCCTTGTCGTCATTATCCTACACATTTGGTGGCATTTCAGCTGACAGATCAAGCTACACATAGCTTTGAGGAGTGTCAGTTAAAAAAAAAAAAAAAAAAAAAAAAACACTCTGTATATATTTCACCCACTGTATTTGTATTAAAGTGCTAAAAAGTGTTATAATAATAACTACAGGATTTTTTTTTCTAAGAATGGATTAACTACTTGTTTTTTACTGGAACTGTTCATATCGTATACGTTCAAGGATCTGGAACAGATTATTGACGTACACAGAGATACCACTGTATATTGCTGCGAAGCGTTCTTTACTTTATATGCTACTTTTTTTTTAAAACCTTTCCTCAATAATTTGAGAAGATTATTTCATGGGGGGGAGAAATCCAAACACCTTAGCAATTTACACAGTTTTAGAGTCTAGTAACAAAATATGCAATTACAAGAATTATTGCTTTGCTTTCAATAGCCTGACCACAATAAAATTACATATATCTCTAGAAACGTACTTAAAAAAGGTATATTTGGTTTCTTGATATTTTGATACTAATAATTAATTTGGCTTTTAACAAAATTTATTTTAAATTAAATTCATAAGTATCAGAATGCATTTCAATTTTTAATTATTTTTAATAAAAACACTTTCTTAAGCCAGGCATTTGCTAACTATTTACTATCTTATTATTATAGTATTAGTTCATAAAAAAAACTTAGTATCTTGAACGCATAGACAAAATACAGCTAACAAAAGAGAAAAGTAAGCACAAATGCCCACGAAAG